GTTTAGGGTTTAGGGTTCTAGGGTCTCTAGGTTTAGAGTTTAGGGTTTAGGGATGAGGGTTTAGGGTTTAGGGTTTAGGGTTTAGGGTTTAGGGTTTAGGGTTCTAGGGTCTCTAGGTTTAGAGTTTAGGGATCGCAGGCTTTAGGGGTTATTAAGGGCTTCCCAGACCACCGGAAGGATCTAAAAAAATAGATCCCCTAAGGGGGTTCCTTTATACAGCACCCCTTAGTAGTATATGGTCCCAAATTAGATCCTTCCGGTAAACCCTAAACCCTAAACCCTAAACCCTAAACCCTAATCCCTAAACCCTCATCCCTAAACCCTAATCCCTAAACCCTAACCACAGGACCCTGAACTCTAAAACCTGACTTCCCCAATAAGCCAGGGGAACAAAGGTTAAACTTTCAGATCACTACTAATGTGTAAGAGCCCAAAAAGCTTGAAGTTTCGGTTTTGAAGAACTAAGAAACTCAAAGACCCCACAGCCTAAACCCCCCGAAGCCCCCAAAGCTAGAATCCTGAACCTCCAAACACTCCTAAAACCCTAACCCCTAAGCCACAAATCCCCAAAGTTTAGGGTTTAGGGTGTGGGGTTTAGGGGCCAAACACATCAACTAAAACCCTAGACCGTAATGTTCTAATCCTTGAAACCTTGCAAACTCTAGCAAGACATATAGACCCTAAGAACCGAAACCTACTTTGCTGTAGGTTCTTATTCTAAACCCTAATACGGGATTTAGAGGGACCCCTTGAAAAAAGTAGGTTTTAGTGGGTTAAGGTAGACCCTAAGACCCGCAACCCTAAACCCTAAACCCTAAACTCGAAACCCCGAACCCCGTGGGTTTGTCGTCCGCCGATGCACCTTGGAGATGACCGGCAGGTCATTCGCCAGTTGGGCAAATCCAAACCTTAGCAGAACTCTTTTGTTTAGGGCCCTAAACCCTAAACCCTTAGGGTTTAGGGTTTAGGAAAGTTTAGGGTTTAGGGAAACCATGAACCCTAAACCCTAAACCCTAAACCATGAACCCTAAACCCTAAACCCTAACCTAAACCATGAACCCACAAGTACAGACGGGTCTGTACGGGATCTCATCTCTGAGTTCTAGTAAACCGTCTCGATACATGATCAACACCTTGTTTTAAACGTTTTGAAGAGTTTGGAAATAGCTTCTTATAGGGGGTTCCGAAAAATCAATTAGATACCTAATTTTGGGGTCCGTATAATAAGGACCCTACTATTTAGGGTACCATATGAGGGCTCCCTATGTTGGGAAACCCCCAGAAAGGGCCAGGTCAGAGGTTTGGGGGAGTTTGGGTTTAGGGTTTAGGGTTTAGGGTTTAGGGTTCAGGGGTTTAGGGTTGAGGGTTGAGGGTTTAGGGTTTAGAGTTTAGAGCTTAGGGCTTAGGGCTGAGGGTTTAGGGTTTAGCGTGTCGACTTCTACTTGCCCAGGGGTCTTGCAGCTGGACGTGCACACGAACAGCCTTGAACCCTATTCAAACCCTTCCGAAATATACACATGTTGAACACATCTGAACGGACCCATCAGTGTTTTAGGTGTCGAACTTCGATTGTGCGTCACGAAGTGTAAAAATAGAATCCCAAAGCCCTAAACCCGAAACCAAAAGCTCGACAAGTCTAGGTTTAGGGTATGGGGCTTAAGCGGTTTAGGGTTAATGAGGGTTGAAGACAACGGTTCCCATGAATTCGATGTTCGAGGCTGCCGAAGCAGTGCTTCGGAAATTTGAGGGAAAGGCAAAGTTTGGGAGTTCAGGGTTTAGGGGTTAGGGCTTTGGGTTTAAGGGTTAAGGGTTAAGGGTTAAGGGTTAAGGGTTTAGGGTTTGTTGTTCAGGCCGAATTCAGGAAACCGCACACAAGCCGGACCGCCACAGGACTGCACACTTCAGTCAGCAGCAACCTTGATCAGAATAGCCTAAGACCCTGCCCTAAACCCAGGATGCTAAACTCTGAACCCTAAATCCTTAAATCTTAAAACCTAAACTCTAAACTCTTGAAGCCCTAAAACCTTAAATCCTAAACTCCTACACCCGAACCCTCAGACCCCTACACCCGACAACCAAAAAGCCCTGCCTCAGACGCAGGGGAGGGTTTAGGGAGTTTCCATTGTGGAGGCCCGAGTGAGTCTTTGGCTGCGAAAGTGTCTGCCAAGGCTTGGGATCCGTCGTACCATAATGCCGACAAGGTCCACAAAAAGTGAAACCCTAAACCCTAAACCGTTTGGGTTTAGGGTTTAGGGTTTAGGGGGCAATTGCTAGACACGCTCATCTTCTCTCGTTCCCTAGACGGGAGGCGGACACGACGACCGCGCGTCCCCTCATGCCAGTGAATTTGAAGTGTCGGTCTGTTCAACGAATAGTGCTCGTTCCGATGGAAATATGACAACCTGCACCCAGGAATCCTATAACGAGTGTAGGCGATTCCCAATTCCCGTGCTTCCGGCTCGAGATCATCCTGGAGAACCAGAAATGCGTGGTTTCTCTCCGTATACCGAGCCCAACTGTGATTGTTGACAGTGTGTACATACGTTTTAAGAGCGTGCCGCAGCCACCTCCTGACCAGCGATTCGTCGTTTACGACCCATTTATGGTAGGCTTGTCGGCAGGAGCTTCGAAGCCCACCCAGAGCCTCCATGTCCATAAACTCGTGCACTAGTACCCACCGTCAGGTCTCCAAGACTTTCAGGACTGCCCGGATTTCTACCTTCCCCGGGTTTAGGGTTTAGGGTTTAGCCTGTGACAATGCAGCGATCGCCGGAAGACTATTTCCTCTACTTCCACCCTAGATAGTATGAGGGAGACCCCTTAAGGGGACATTCCTTGACCTACTTATAGCCCTCTTAAAAAGGACCTTTTTGAGAGGGCCTATATCCCCAAGAGTTCCGCTAATCCTAACTCCTATTCCAAGAGGGTCCATATTATATGTATATATATATACTACTATCAATGAAGGGTTTAGGGTTTAGGGTTTAGGGAAGAAGGTCCCTCGAAACCATTGTTAGGATGATGTGTAGAGGGCCAAATTCCATGAAGGTAGTATATGTGGACACTCTGGGCTTACCTCCCCAACACCTATGAGAAAATAGGTGATTTCCTTTCTGGCCTAAACCTGAAGCCCCCTTCAAGCCCTTTATGAGGAACCCTCAGCCCCTGAACCTTAAACCCTAAACTCTCAGCCCCTTCAACAAAAGGAGCCAAGGACAGAAGCCTAAACCCTAACCCCTGAACCCTAAACCCCAGACCCTAAACGCTAAACCCTAAACCTAAACCTTAGGCCCTAAACCCTGAACCCTAAAACCTAAGCCACAAGCAAAAGGAGCCCAGGACAGCGATATCCCCAGCCAGAGACCCCAATATCCCTGAGCTAAGGAATATACCCTAAGTTCTAGTAGTATCCCTAATATGAGTCAAAGTATATTCATTCTTATAGTACCCTTATAGAAATCCTTATAGATCCCTTCAAAAGAACCCTAAGAGGTATATTCCTTATTTAAGGGATATTGGAGTCTCTGGGCACCTAAGCCCTAAACCCTAAACTCTAAACCTTAAACCCTAAACCCTAAACCGTAAAACCCTAAACCCTAAAACCCTAAACCCTATTGGGCAGCTCTTAGCCGCGGACATGAACTTGGAACGCCCCGACCCCTGGGTTCAAGGCGCACACTTCTTAGGGTTTAGGGCTTAGGGTCTAGGGCTTAGGGTTTAGGGTTTAGGGTACACTTCGGCTCAGGGATGTAGGGTTTGGGGTTTAGGGTTTAGGGTTTAGACTCAGAGATGTAGGGTTTGTAGGGTTTAGGGTGAAGGGTTTAGGCTTTAGGATGTAGGGCTTGGGGCTTATAGGGCTTATAGGGCTTAAAGGGCTTAGGGTTGAGGGTGCAGGGTTTAGGCTTTAGGATTTAGGGCTTGGGGCTTATAGGGCTTATAGGGCTCAAAGGGCTTAGGGTTTAGGGTGAAGGGTTTAGGCTTTAGGTTTAGGGTTTGGGGCTTAGAGGGTTTATAGGGCTTATAGGGCTTAGGGTTTAGGATTTAGGCTTTAGGGTTTAGGGTTTAGGGTTTGGGGCTTAGAGGGTTTATGGGGCTTAAAGGGCTTATAGGGCTTAGGGTGAAGGGTTTAGGGTTTAGGTTTAGGGTTTGGGGATTAGGGATTTTGGGGTTTCGGCTTTAGGGTTTTTAGGGCTTATAGGGTTTATAGGTTTAGGGCTTTAGGGGTTTAAAACTATAGGGATCCACGGCTTCAGGGTTTAGGGTGTAGGTTCTTAGGGCTCAGGGTTAAGATTAATCTCTACTTGGAGGGTAGGGGGACTTATTAAATGGTTATTTTACAGGCTTATAAGTACTATAACCCCAATTAGGGTACTTATAAGTCTACTTATTACCTACTTACTAAGTCTCCCGACCCTCCAAGTAAGGGCCTCAACAATTCGAACAGGGATTTGGGAACAGCTTAGCAGATGATAGTTTTATGTGTATCTACAATAAGAACCCCTAAGACTCTTCTAAGACACATACCACGAGTTATTGACGTTTCTACATTGAGGAGTTACCTTAACACCCAATAACCTACCGTTTTTAAGGACTTATATAAAGACATCCCAATAAGAAGCCCTAAAAAGGTCGGCTCTTTAGAACCCAAACCCTAAACCCTAAACCCGAAAACCCTAAACCCCAAACCGCTTTGGGGGTGTAGTAACAGGGACCTTTTGGGTGGCTTTTCGGTGCTTAGTAGGTCCTTTTTGGGGCTACCTTATAGGATTCTAAATACGAACCCCAAAAAAACAACTACTTTAGGGCCTATGGGTAGGGTCTAGGATTTAGGGTTTAGGGGTTTTTGGCGGGTTTAGGGTTTAGGGGTTTACGCTACCAGGGTGTTCGTAACTTGAAAGCTTATGTCATGTGAATCTGCATGAAGGTCTTTCGATAAACGCTAAACCCTAAACCCTTAAACCCTAAACCCTATAAACCCTATAAGCCCTAAACCCTTAAACCCTAAACCCTATAAACCATAACCCCTAAACCCCAAACCCTATAAACCATAAACCCTAAACCCTTAAACCCCAAACCCTATAAACCATAAACCCTAAACCCTTAAACCCTTAAAGGCTTCCTTTCATGCAGACGGAGGGCCTTGTGGTTCTTGTCAAAAGCTCTCTGTCTGGGGTTCAAGCACCCTAAACCCTGAACCCTAAACCCCTAAAAATCTCAACCTAAATCGGTTTAGGGTTTGGGGTTTAGGGTTTAGGGTCGGGCCTAACCCTCGACCCATGCGGGATCCCTTTGCCTTTGCTAGAGCCTCGAGCTCCTTTGTTTTTTGATGAACTCAAGGTAGCGTCGCAGATCCTTCACCTTCTCACTGGGCCCATTGTGTTTCAACACGAAGCGAGTCAAGTAGATGCGCACCTCGTGGTCCTGGGAAGAGAGTGCCACCAGCTCGGTGTAGGTCAAATGACGGCTTTTAACCTTGTTAAGCTCGCACAAGTAAGCTCCCCATTGATCCACATCACAAATACCAAGAGGAAGTCTCGTATCTGTCGGACGCGCGGCCTGGTGCCCGGAGCTTTTGGATCCTGAGGCCTTAGCCCTAAACCCTAAACCCTACACCGGTTAAGG